GTGTAGATGATGAAATTAGATGATAAAAAGTATTATAAAATAATTTGTGATGTAATTAATAAATATTTATATAGTAAAATGTAGGAATAAATTGATTTAAAACCCGTTTAAATTATAAAAAATTATGAAAAAATGCTTGTAAATGTCTAAAAATCAAGTGATGATGCATATGAACTATTTTGGAAGTATATATGTATATTTTAAAAATATGAGGAAAAAATTGGGTATCGACAAGTGGTCAACAAAATACAAGCGACAAATTGTTATAATACCCAATGCTCGATCTTTGTCTGGGTTCTACAATTCATCTGTCAGAACCAAGAGAGAGATTACATTATCCATATTCGTAGATTGAGTAGTGAAGGACACCAAATTCCAAGTAGTAGAGCCATACATGGCTTATAATATAATTTTAGGAAGGCTATAGATTCTTGATATGTATGTAGTACCATCAACTTTGCATCAAGTTGTTAAATTCCTATCACAATGGGGAATTTGTTAGATTAGGAGAGATCAACGAGCAACACTAGAAACTAATACGGTGGTTGTAGCGAGTGGAACAACCAATGACAAAGAAGAAAAATAGCAATTACAATGCCAGTTGAGGAGAATATGCCCTCTACCGCAACATCTGATATGAAAAACAGAGCAGACATAGACGTGAGACCTAACGTGATTCAGGGATCGGAGGAGAATAATACTATCAAAATAGCAATGCGGGATTTTGAAACTGTTACCTTATTTACTCATTGGCCTAAGAAAAAAGTCTATATTGGGACAAACTTAAGTTAGAGTTTAAAGAGTGGATTAATTGAATTTTTATGCACTAATCCTGATTTTTTTGCTTGATTGCATTTAGATATGATAGGAATTCTACCGGAGTTAATAATTCATAAGCATTACGCCCACCGGTGAAACAAAATAAAAAAGAGAAAGCAAACTCATGAAAATTAGTTTAATTCGTGAGGTAAAATACCCTGACTGGTTAGCAAATACTGTTGTAGTTACTAAAAAGAATGGTAAATGGCGTGTATGTGTAGATTATACTAATTTGAATGAGGCATGCCTCAAGATTTATTTTTTTGGCCACATATAAATAAATTAATTGATTCTACTGCTAGTCACGAGTTTTTAAGTGTTTTAGATGCTTATTCTAGGTATAACCAAATTAAAATGGATCTCAAGGACGAAGAAAAAACTTCTTTTATCACATATAGGGAGGACTTATTATTACAAAGTCATGGTCTGAAGAATGGTGGAGTTACGTACCATAGATTGGTGACCAAAATATTTCAAGAATATTTGGGGAAGACTATAAAATTTTATATTGATGACATTCTAGTAAAGTCATACAAGCGGGAGATCATCTCAAGCATTTGGAGGAAACACTTGCCATTCTTTGAAAATATAATATAAAGTTGAACCCAAAAAGTATATATTTGATATAGCTTTAGGTAAAGTTTTGTGTTTTCTTGTCTCTAACATGTGGGTTAAGGTGAATCAGCTCAAATTAAAAAAAAATGAAGAAATACCCGATGTGCTTACCAGCAAAAAAAGTACAAAGACTAATGGAAAGAATAACAGCTTTGGGGAGATTCATATCTAAATCTTCAGAAAAATATTTCAAGTTTTCATATTTCAAACTCAAATACTGAAGGAGGTGCATTTCAAGGAGAATTTCAAGAACTTGAAGGCACTCGTGCATTTCGAGGAGAATTTCAAGAACTTAAAGAAACTCGTAAAATTTCAAACTCGCAGATCCAATGAGAAGTGAAGAATCGAAGAAGAAAACTTCAATAAATTTTTAATTCAAGTTGAGAATACAAAAATAGTCACAGAATACGATATTCTCAAGGCGTACTTGTAAAGTAAAAGTTGATCTTGTTGCAAGAAAGCAACTGTAATGATGATATATATGAATATTAAATTTGAAAATTCAGATAAAACTTCTCCAGTTATTTCATAATTTACACCAACATGAAGATGAAATGTCATCTTTATTAGTGTGGATGAAATGTGTCTCTTTTATGATTAAGAATGTATGTATCTAAATAGAACAACTTTAAACTATTCATTCAAATGAAATAATGCAATAAAAGACTTGAGAAATCAAACGAGCAAAAGCAAAACATATAATATATGTAAAAAAGTGAAGAGGTATAAGAAATGTCTTCAAATAAAACTTCAAAAAGTATACAGGAATGATAAAAGCTAAGACTCGGAAGGAACATCTTGAGAAGAAAGGTTGTCAGTTGGGGAAGGATTAGAAATTGAAGGAAGATTAACTTGGGGACTGGAAGTTGAAGGCTGAAGATTCGCCTCCGTATTCTCTTTACTTACATCGTCCTTAGAACTTTCTTCCTCTGGAGTGAGAAGCTTTGACCTTGCTGAGATACTTCAATAGCAACTTTAGCCTTAAAAAGTATAGCCTCGAGGTCAAAACCTTCTTGGATAGCCTCGATCAAAGTTTCAAAACGAGTACGAAGGAGTTCCTAACTAATCCATAGTTTAATTATCTACAAGGGCCTCATACTCCATTTTCCAATTGATCGATTTTAGCTTGTAAACTTTATTTCGCTGCCTCAACAGCATCATAGGAGATCTTCAAAGGCTCCAGAGTATACTCAAGGAACTTAACTTTATCAGAGGAGGCGCAAAGGTTTTCCTGGACTTGGTAAATTCTTGAACCAGTTCACCGCATGTATTTCCTTTTGGTTCAAAATTTCTTTCAGACTTCAAACCTCTTCAATGACTTTGGTGTGCTACTCAGCAAAGTCGTCCTTTATCTTTGTAATCTTCTTCTCTGATTGCCTTGCTTCAACTTTAGTAACTGCTAATTCATAAGTTACTATATTTAAGTTGTTGTTGAAGCATCTCCTTCTTATTTGATTCCTCTTTCTCCAGTTGGAGATTAGCAAATTGTTCCTTCCAATAATCCACTTCCAAAGATAAGTCTGACGTATGCTGCTCATTTTGAGCAAGTCTTTTCATCAAATTTGTGTCAGTTAAATTTAACTGAAAAAAAAGAAAGTTAGGAAAACAAATAAGGGAAAGAAAAGAAAGAAGTAAAAAAGAAATAGAGTATGCCCGAAGGGTAGAATGCACGATATCATTGCCTAGAGTGATGTCAGAATGGGACTCCAACTTCTATTTCTCGAGTGACCCAATAAGAAGCTTCAAAACAAACAGAAGCTTTGTTAGGTCTTTTCAGCAAGTTAATATTAGCCGGGACTTTTCATCATCTGCCGTATTTTCCTTACATCAGAAGGACCAGCTTCGATCTGAGCAGGTACGAACGAGAGTCTTAGCTGGAGCAGTGGGAGGAAAACTTTCATTGGCAAAGTCAATAAAATGGTCTTCACCTCTATGGTTGTCGAACCCTTTGGTTAAGCAGCTCATCAACAGAGTTGATAGCAGGAGCCACGAGCGGCTCAGTAACTTCACCATCTGAAATCACCATTGTCAGAGTTTCCTCTGGTTCGTCAACAAGATGAAACAGAACAGTCCCAAGGGTGAAGCTTGGGGACTACTCTGATCATCCTCTAAAACAACTTGCCTCCTAGTTCGAGGCTTCTTCACAAGAGAACATTCGATCTCTTCATCTTCTTCCTTATCAGAGGTGAGAGACTCTCTGTCTTTCTTCTTCGAATAGGACAAACTTAATATATGCTAATGTGCCGTATCAACATTAAGTTCAAAAACAGTGCTCATGTGCCGTATCAACATTAAGTTCAAAAACAGGAGCAGAAGAGGGATGAACACCACAAATCCAAAATCCTACAATAGGAATATTTAAAAAAAATGACGGGAACGAAAAGCTAATACATACGGTACAAAAAAGTAACTCATCGTTGGTTTTTACTTTGTGTTGTTAAAGTAGAAGAAGTGTGAATTGGAAATGGAGGGAAATAAAATGGAGGGAAAATGAAAAATTTGAAGAAGTGAACTTTTGTTTTGTACTTTGTCCCTTATTGGTGAGGGACAACCACATTTGTGTGCTTATATATAGAATCACTTTTTAAAGCTCTTAAAAGGAGTTGAAGAGAATGAACCCTCGCGCTGTCGTCGTTGTCGCTCGCTCGGCTTCGGCAAATGATCGATAAGATTATTTTTTGGACAAAATTTATTTAATTATTTAATAATTAATTAAATGTCAAATCACTGCTGAAAATACGCCAGAATCCTGCTGAAGATTCAGAGGGTCTGCAGGCAGATTCAGAGAGCCTCTCTGACCGCGGTTCTGCCGCGGGCGCGGTAGAACCGCGGCAGGCAGCGTATTCTTCTGAAAAGGCACCTTTTCCAGACACCTCTTCTGATAATTGCCTATAAATTCTGAGGCAAGGCTCCATTTTCTATATACCAAAAACATTACAGAACTTTCTTCTTTCTAAAAATACTGCATTCTAATTCGCAGTCTCTCTCTCTCAAATTCGTAAGTGTGATTTTGCTCCGTTCTTTGAGTCCGTTGGTATCCTGCAGTTTGTATTGCCACTGTTGCAGGAAGGTTTATTCCGTTTCATCCTGGGAGGATTTAATCCATTACCTTGGCAACGTGTGAGGGGGTTAAAATTCCTTAAGGACACACAAGCAAATTGTGGACTCGGAATATTTCTTATAGTTTACTGTTTTTTTCCAGTTTTTTCTTCTAACAGTTTTTCTATATTTTCCTCCTAATTTTGTGTTTCCACACATAACTAATAACAAGCTTAAAGAATTCTAAATAATCTAACGGTTCTATGTTGAAATATATATATTAAACTGTTATCTATATTTTGTATACAGGTTTGGAGACTAAAGCCTTCGTGCTTTCTACTCCAATAATTGTTCTGTCCGGTTTAAAGTATAACAAAACTTTACCGGAATAAGAAACGTACGGGTTTGAAGTATATAAAAACTTCACCATTTTTACGTGTTGTGTGTTTGTTTTGGTATTCAGTTTGAACATATCAAAACTTCACTGATTTAACAAAGTTCTGTTTTGTTTCCAACTCTACAGAAACATGTCAAATGAAAACCAAACTAATGGAAATGTTGCGGGAACGGGTGCTACTGTTACGAATGTTGCTGCCTCGTCAAGCCGTTCAACTCCTGCTCATGCTATGGCACCAACAGAAAAACCCGGAAAGTTTTTCGGTATTGACTTCAAACGTTGGCAAATGAAGACGCTCTTCTATCTGACTACGTTGAGTTTACAGCGATTCATCAAGGAGGATCCTCCGGTCCTGGCTGAAAATACTCCGGATGATGAACGACTTGTTGTAACTGAAGCATGGAAACATTCTGATTTCTTGTGCAAAAACTACATATTGAGTTGTTTGGAAGATGGCTTGTACAATGTCTATAGTGTCATGGAAACTTCAAAAGCGTTATGGAATGCACTTGAGAAGAAGTACAAGACTGAGGATGCCGGACTTAAGAAGTTCGTGGCTGCAAGGTTTTTGGATTTCAAGATGATTGACACTAGGTCAGTCATAACTCAAGTCCAAGAATTACAAGTCATTGTGCATGACCTCCTTGCTGAAGGTATGACCCGAATCAATAATTTTATTAATAAGATTTATCTTATTATTAATTATGAATTTGTTATTGAAGGTATGGTCATAAATGAGGCCTTTCAAGTCGCTGCTTTCATTGAGAAGTTACCTCTGTTGTGGAAGGATTTTAAGAACTATCTTAAACACAAACGGAAGGAGATGACACTAGAAGACTTGATTGTTCATTTGACGATAGAAGAAGACAACAAAAATGCTGAAAAGAAGTCACGTGGAAACTTGACAATAATGGGGGAAAACATTGTTGAGGAGGCGCCACAAAATAAGAAGAGGAAAAAGGCTTCTGGACCAAAGAATTACCCAAGCAAGAAAAAGTTCAAGGGTAATTGCCACAACTAT